GTATATTGTGTTGAGATAATTGTATCACAGGCAGAGGGGAGGAGATGTGTGGGAGGTAACATGTATTCGATTGGTGAATGTACTAATTATTGTGGGTGTCTCCCTTGCATGGGAGCATTGCATAAAAGCAGGGAATGTGAAATTAAACCTCAGTTAAGTTCTGCTCCTGATACTGTGTGTCGTCCAGTTATTGGGAAAGTTGATGGGATATTATTGGATTGTCTTGCTGATTGTGCTTGCTACGCTGTTGAATTATTCTATTACTGTGGATGTTTCTCCTGGGGTTACTACTTGTTCCTGAGGCACACCTGGACTACCAGCGGAAATAGTCTGTGAGAGACCAAACCCACGAATTCACCAACTCCCGAACTGCAACCAAGGGAATACTCGAAACTCCCGAACTGCATACCAAGGGAATACTCGAAACTCCCGAACTGCATACCAAGTAGCACTCCAAACTCCGAACTGGAGACACACAAATAGCTGCTAGCAGACGAACAGGAAAAGCCCCCAAGCGGCTTACACTCCTGGCAATCGGTCTCGAACAGCATACAGTAAATCCTCCCCCAATAATGAGACGACACTTCACTTTGAGGGTTAAGCAGGAACTGATTTACTGGGGCTAACTGCCCGGCTTTTATGCAGGTCTCCTACCTGGTGGACACTCCCATAGGGGACCAAATGGGAGACTGGGACACAAAAGGGTAAAAGGACCAATCACAGACTTACACATTTCAACCATCCCACAATGCATCACAATCCCTCCTCTCTGCTCTGGAGATAATTGGGAAGTAATTCAATTATCTCCAAAGACAGAGGCAAAACTCCATTAACCACATGGCAGAAAACAAACAGTAAAAGACATAAAATTACCTACATGCATTCGCATGTTTAAAATGGCCGCGACCTCGTGTTCGTGATACAAATAGCGCCACCCAGCATTCGTCAATTAAGCTGCGGTTAACCGCAGCTTCAGGGAGGTTAATTGCTGGCACACTCCAGCTCCCAGGTGGTCTATTCATTCGTGCGGTTGTTCGGTAGATTGAATCTACCGAACACTAGGCAGAAAAGAACGAATAAGTCTTTTCTGCAGGGAAAAAAGATGTCTTTTAACATGGGTCATAGTCCAAAGGCAGCAGGCGAGCAACCAGGCTTCTCCAATGCAACGTGGCGAGATTGGTCTCGTCACATCTCTCCCCTTTTCCAAATAGACTAACAGGGTATCTGACCTCATGCCGGTCAGTGCCCTTGTTAGTCCAGCAGCCCACCCACAAAACACAATCAGTAATACAGCCCACCCACAAGAACTGGTTACTACACCTGGGTAGAGGAGAACGTTGTCCATGTCCAGGCGCCTCACCATGGCTGTGTGGGTGACTGGTAAGCAGACTGGGTGGGTTGCTGAGTGGGCAGAAACCAGCGGTACTCTGTCCTGGTGCCAGCACTACCACGGGAGTAGTCTGGTTGGAGCCTGGTTGCTGGAGGGTAAGTACGACTGTCTCCCCTTTGGCTAAACAGCCCTGTCGCTGGGGGGCAAAACCGACCGTCCCTACCCCCTGTGCTGTAAGTGCAGAGACCACGGTCTCATCTCCCCTTGGTGGGCTAGGCCGCCGCTGGGAAGTGTTCTCCCCTCCTGGTAGAATATTCTGCTACTGGGGAGCTGGACCGGCTGTCCGTACTCCCTGTAGCTTGGGCGCAGAGACCACGGTCCCATCTGTGCCGATGGGGAGCTTAATGTCTCTCCTTGGTGGCCTACGCTGCCGCTGTGGAGAGGGGGCAACAAGCTCTTCTCCCTGACACTCTCCCTGCTGGGGGAGAGGAGAACCGACTGTCTCCCCTTTCAATATATTGTCCTGCCACTGGGGAGGGAGGACGGCACCTTCGGCTCCCTGGGACTCACTTGACTGCTGAGAAGAAGGACCAACTGTCTCCTCTCCTAAGAACACACACAGCCGCTGGGGAGGACGGACGACACCTTCAGCTCCCTGGGACACACACTGCCACTGGGGAGGAAGGACGACACCTTCAGCTCCCTGGGTGACACACTGCTGCTGGGGAGGAAGGACGACACCTTCAGCTCCCTGGGACACACACTAGCGCTGGGGAGGAAGGACGACACCTTCAGCTCCCTGGGACACACACTGCCGCTGGGGAGGAACGATGACACCTTCAGCTCCCTGGGACACACACTGCCGCTGAGGAGGAAGGACGACACCTTCAGCTCCCTGGGACACACACTGCCACTGGGGAGGAAGGGTGACACCTTCAGCTCCCTGGGACACACACTGCCGCTGGGGAGGAAGGGTGACACCTTTAGCTCCCTGGGACACACCCTGCCACTGGGGAGGAAGGACGGCACCTTCCGGTCCCTGGGACACACACTGCCACTGGGGAGGAAGGATGACACGTTTCTCTCTGTAACTTGCTCGGCCACTGGGGTCTCTCCCAACCTGCCAACTCACGTGTCTGCCCTGCTCCTACCTGCAGGTACTCTTCTACCTGTCTCCTCACGAACTGCACGTATTTCCTTGGGGGGTTGGGTCCAAAGAAAGCCAGCCGTGTGGTAAACTCTCTGTCATACTGCTCCTGAGTGTAGCTGGGTGCCATGCTTGCGCTGCTGAAGTTGGTTCTTTTGTACATAGGGTCGCTGTACAGGTACTGGCGTTGCCCTCAATTTGTAATCCAGGAACTGGTGTTGTATTATAGCTGTCCTTCTGGGCTGTGGAAATGATCCTGTCGCTTGCCACCAATTGTAACGGACCGTTTTGCCCACAAGAGGTTACCGTTTAGGTGATATTTCCCTTTTTCAGCTGCACAGACAGCTACTGCAAGCACCAATTTCCCGAACTGCAAACCCACAAATTCACCAACTCCCGAACTGCATACCAAGGGAATACTCGAAACTCCCGAACTGCATACCAAGTAGCACTCCAAACTCCCGAACTGGAGACACACGAATATCTGCTAGCAGATGAACAGGAAGTCCCCAAGCGGCTTACACTCCTGGCAATCAGTCTCTAACAGCATACAGTAAATCCTCCCCCAATAATGAGACGACACTTCACTTTGAGGGTTAAGCAGGAACTGATTTACTGGGGCTAACTGCCCGGCTTTTATGCAGGTCTCCCACCTGGTGGACACTCCCCTAGGGGACCAAATGGGAGACTGGGACACAAAGGGTAAAAGGACCAATCACAGACTTACACATTTCAACCATCCCACAATGCATCACAATCCCTCCTCTCTGCTCTGGAGATAATTGGGAAGTAATTCAATTATCTCCAAAGACAGAGGCAAACCTCCATTAACCACATGGCAGAAAACCAACAGTAAAAGACATAAAATTACCTACAGTTACATTCAGTACATAAAACATATACGTTCTACATATCCCCAGAAAGCTCAGGTCTGAGTGCACATTATTAAGCGAATGGCGCTCAGACCACATGAATACAGTTTAATCGCCATGGAGCCAAAGTCTTTGCACAGTCAGTTTCATGCGAATGGGCTCCATGGGATTCCTATCTGGGGCACAACACACTCAAACAAAACTACCGAACACCGGGCCGTTCGTGCACTTTCACCGAACAAGAAGGGAGGTCGGCGGCTTCAGCGGTGTTCGCGCAAAACTGTGTCCGATTTCAGTTCCATGAATTAAGCGTCGAACACCGCTGTGCATTCGCATGTTTAAAATGGCCGCGACCTCGTGTTCGTGATACGAATGGCGGCCACCCAGCATTCGTCAATTAAGCTGCGGTTAACCGCAGCTTCAGGGAGGTTAATTGCTGGCACACTCCAGCTCCCAGGTGGTCTATTCATTAGTGCGGTTGTTCGGTAGATTGAATCTACCGATCACCCGGCAGAAAAGCACGAATAAGTCTTTTCTGCAGGGAAAAAAAATATGTCTTTTAACATGGGGCCATAGTCCAAAGGCAGCAGGCGAGCAACCAGGCTTCTCCAGTGTACAGTGGCGACGTTGGTTTCGCCACACCTATATTGAGGCCCCCCCCTATTGCTTTTTGGTGTTCGGGCTAGAACTTCCCCTCCTCTCGTTCCTCCTATTCTTTGAGGGCTTGTGAGCCTGCTTTCGCACATATTCCCAATTTTGGTCACATCCCCTCCCATAAGTTAATGATGTGAAGGTGCCAGAATCCTGTATGGAGACCTCTCATTTCCCAACCAGGCCTTCTATTTATTAGTACCACACGCCGACCTGTCCCACAAAGAGTGGGTTGCATCCCGCAAGTAAAGCAACCATAATATATAGGGCCCACACAATATGCAGTGAATCATATATACAGCTTAGAGGGTGTAAGAAAATACGCTGGGCTGGAGATGCTGATCTTGTCCTGAAAATCTCACCACATTGAGTGCCCCTATCCTCCCCTGTATCCTACCCAAACCACAGCTAAGATGATGCCCAAAGCCCTTGAGTGGGTTTTTATTCAAACCTGTAAGATAGCACATTATACACTCAAGTCCGATCGCCCACCTGCAGGGTTTCCACAATTAGTGGAATATGAGGGCAGCATACTTGAGAGTGGATTACGTGGTAGGACCCCCATGTGAGAATATACCACCCAAAACAAAGCGTGTCCCCCTCTCCCCCCAAAGAATAGCTGGAGTGAGGAGTAAGTTAAATCGGTGTGGATGATCTGGAGCCGGTTAAGGATCAACAGAGGCCGATACACACCCCTTCTCTAAGTTACCATTTGTAGGCCCACAAATACCAAACAGTAGTTTTCAACACCGGTAAAAAGGCGGTTGTAGGCCCTCTGTAGTGGGTAAACTAAGATCACATCCCCCACAATACCTTAGTGTCAGCAAAGGGTTGCTCCAGCTACCGATGGGAAGGAGGCCGGTAATTCCTCATCACGAGCTGCGTTCGAGTCCTGTTGGGGCGAAGGGCCTGCTGGGGAGTCTCCTCTCCTGCGGCGCGATGCTCTCTGTGGATGGGGCCTCAGATTCAATAGAGCGGAACAAACGGGTAAGTACCCTCTCTATGTCTTCTTCCCCCTCGGGCTCTGGGATGCTGTGTACATATTACACCTGCGGCTGCGATTGTCCAGGTCTTCCATCTGTTGTCGCATATCAAGCAACATGGTGCCTTGCCTGATTACTGCATGATCATTGGCCATGGCCCTTTCTGTAATACTCTGAGTTGCGGTCTCCAGGGTCTGTAGCCGGGTCCTCTGCGTGGAGACTTCTGTGCGGACGAGGGACATTTCGGGCCTGAGAGTCTCAGTCCGGGTGCATGTAAGTGTCTGGAGGTCCTGTCTGGTGGCCATTGATGCTGCCAGGGAATGCAGCTCTGTGCATATACCATCCAGAGTGGCGCGTTCAGATCCTACTGGGGACATTGGCGGTGAGGTGGCCATGTTGGAGTCAGGTGCCATGTTGTAGGCCCTTGCTGGGTGGTGAAGGATTCCGTCCATAGGATCCATATGGGAGCAGACACTCAAGCCCCTGGGTGTCTGGGGATGGTCAGCTTGGCGAGTTGGATTACTGGAAGCCTTTGAACATATTACTTGAAACTGGGATGTTTAGTGTGCTAAGTAAGTAGAGGATGATAGGCAAGATAGACATCTTACATAGTTACATAGCTGAAAAGAGACTTGCGTCCATCAAGTTCAGCCTTCCTCCCATATGTTTTTGCTGTTGATCCAAAAGAAGGCAAAAAACCCAGTCTGAAGAGGATCCAATTTTGCAACAAACTAGGAAAAAATTATTCTTGACCTCAAAATGGCAGTCAGATATCCCCCTGGATCAAGCAGCTATTACCCCACTCATTAGACATTATATCCCTGTATGTTATATTTTTGCAAGTATTTATCCAATTGCTGTTTAAACATCTGTATGAACTCTGATAAAACCACCTCTTCAGACAGAGAATTCCCTAGCCTAATAGTTCTTACTGTAAAAAAAAAAAACTTTTTTTTTTGCTTAGATTAAATCTCCTTTCTTCCAGTCTAAATGTGTGACTGCGTGTCCTATGTATAGCCCTGTTTATTAATAGATTTCAAGATAATGGTTTGTACTGGCCCCGAATATATTTGTATAATGTTATCATATTCCCTCTGAGGCGCCGTTTTTCCCAAAATTGCACAGCATATTCAAGGTGTAGTCTTACCAGCGATATATAAAGAGGCAAAATTATATTTTCATCCCGAGAATTTATGCCCCTATTTATGCATGACAAAACCTTACTGGCCTTAGCAACTGCAGATTGACATTGCATATTGCTGCCTAATTTGTTGTCTATAATAATTCCCAAGTCATTCTCGTGTGTGGTTACCCCTAATTCACTACCCTTAGGGTGTAAGTTGCTCGTGCATTCTTGACCCCGAAGTGCATAACTTTGCATTTCTCTACATTAAATTTCATCTGCCATCATCTTGACATCTTTTACCCATTCAAGAGAGTGTGTGCTTCCCTAAGATTCTAGTGTATTTTTACTCTTCTGCAGTAGGTTGCTAAAATGAAAGCAGACCACTGCCTATTTGGATTTAGCCAATTTTACCCCTAAATATAACTGTTCTCCAGTCAAATGAGTAGTTGTCTTTCAGCAGTGGTACGTGTGTTTGTTATCCTTATGGGAAATGCCTGCATTTTACACACATTGTTTTGACGGTATGAAACGTTACTATAGTCCAACAACCCCAGTAGAATAGAAGGCAGCAAGATAAGTGGGTTTGTGAGGCATAACAGGATGTCTTCTGCGAACAAGGTCAGCTTGTATCCTATTAGCACTACCTTCACCTCCTGCATTTCAAGATTTAATTTGAACTTATATACTATTGGTTCTAAAGCTACTATAATAATAATGTGGAGAGCAAACATTCCAGTCATGTTCTATTAGAAATACTGAAGCTATCAGACAAGGAGCATGAGCTTAAGATGTTAGCTGATCGCAGTGCTTATAGTGCCATGACAGTTCTCAGAAAAGAGGGTGGAACTTGAACTTAAGCGTTCATATATCGCCAATGGTGGAGGTCAAAAGTCTTTTCAGCGCCCTGTGCCATTAAGAGGCTAGCCTACGTATGGGATTGGTTAACATTGGTTAACATCCCAGCCTGAGTTATGCTATGATATTAAGAATGTGTCTGATATTATCTGATGCTTTACTTGCAGGTACAATGTTTAATTATTCAGGGAATATAAATGTGGATAATGTTGTATTGAGCCTGGTGGCAAGTAATTTCGCATACAATTTTGTGTCAGAGTTTAAAAGGGAGATTGGCCTGAATTTGGCGCTTTTATTGTGGAGTTAACATGGTTTTGGCAAAGGCACTATAGGTAAATATGTTACATCGTTACATAGGCTGCAAAGAGACATGCATCCGTCAAGATCAGACTTTCTGACATCTTTTTTTTTATGCTGTTGATCCAAATGAAGGCAAAAAACACCAGGGGTGGCGGTGAGGGGGGGAAGGGGAAGGGGAATCCTTCTTGACTTCATAATGGCAATCACATTTGGGGAAATCACTTGAAGCATTCATTGTGTTGAGCTATTTCAGCTGCTTTTGTTTCATTTGTTTATTGCAAATAGCTGAACATCTGTAAATTTTGACAATAAACCTAATTTTCAATGGGGGTTGAATGATTTTGATTAGAATTGTATATATATATGTATATGTGAAACAATTTTTTTAATTAAACATTTTCATGGTTTTAAAGGACCACTCTAGGCACCCAGACCACTTCAGCTTAATGAAGCGGTCTGGGTGCCAGGTCCCTCTAGGATTAACCCTTTTTTTAATAAACATAGCAGTTTCAGAGAAACTGTTTATATTAGGGTTCATCCAGCCTCCAAATCCTCTAGTGGCTGTCTCTAGAGCCTCACAGTGCCTCACAGTGAGAAGACGCTGCCGTCCATAGGAAAGCATTGTAAATGCTTTCCTATGAGATCGGCTGAATGCCTGCGCGTGAGCATTCAGCCCAGGAGGAGGATCGGATGCGGAGAGGAGGAGGAGAGCTCCCCGCCCGGCGCTGGAAAAAAGGTAAGTTTAACCCTTTTCCTCTCCCCAGAGCCCGGCGGGAGTGGGACCCTGAGGGTGGGGGCACCCTCACGGCACTATAGTGCCAGGAAAACTAGTATGTTTTCCTGGCACTATAGTGGTCCTTTAAGCACACACTCTCTCACTGATAAATGCATACACTCTGACGCTGTTTAACCAATGCACACTTTCACTGACAAACACACACATTTTCAGTGACATATACTTTAAGATACACATACATTAACATACACTCAATGACGGACACACACATTTTATTTGAGACACATACACTGACACACACTGGCAGACACACGCGCTCACTAATCTGACACACACATACTCTCACAAATTAATTTTATTTACAATTTTTATATATTTTGTTAACTTGTATTTAAGCCCACCCAGCCTCCCTAACTTTGGGAGAACTGATGTGGATCTTATACGTGGTGTCCAGTATGGGGCTTGTGTAATCCTTGTCATGTTTCAGCACTGATGGGGCCAGAGTGATTTCATATTTTGTCTCCTGGCATCACTCCAGAAGGGGAGAAGTGCTGGAAGTGCACAAACATCAGTGCTGCGTCGCTACCCTGCTACAGCCCACCATCTCCCACTGATTCACTACATTTTGTGAGAGTAGACACCTGCTGTAAGATGGTGCCAAGCACATAGCTAGCAGCCACTTGGGGAGCTCTTGAGTGGTCATATGGCTAGCTCATGGGCCCCCTTGATGGGTGGAACACAGAGGGCCCAGTCACACTCGTGAACTTAGTGACACCTGTCGTTCAGCCACTAGCTATCGTATTTTCTCTGAAGCACCTTTTCTCTAAAACAAATCAAATGCAGTTTTTCTAGCCTTTCTTCATTACTAATGTTTTCACCACTTTTTATAGCTGTTTCAGTACTTTTTCTACTTCTTCAATATCCTTCTTTAAAACTGGGGTCTAAAATTGCATCACATAATCAGGGGACATTTATAAAGTGATAAAATTATCATTTGATCACATGAATTAATACCCTTTTACAATTCGGAGTATTCACAAAACACTGGTTTTAATAAACTTTGGGACTGAATGCATCCAGGAGGTGTGCGTGTGTGTGTATATATATATATATATATATATATATATATATATATATATATATATATATATAATGTTTATGAGAAGAGATGCTGCTTGTGTGGTCTTATGCTGTAAAATTTTAAAAAACTAAACCCATGGTCCAGGGAGGGGAGAATCCTGATCCCTGACGGTCCAGTTTGAGATAATGCTTGTCTGCACCCACGGTTGGAACAAAGAAAACCTTCCGGTGTCTGCCTCATGGCAGGAGAAGGAGCTGGACAGTGAGGAGAAATTTAACATCTCCCCATCGGCTGTGCCGCTCCTTTCCTGCTTGGTGCAGAAGGGCATGGCCTCAGTAGCCACATGGCAAACAAGGCCATGGGGACATACTTATGTCCCCCCTAGCCCCAACCCATAGTCAGTGGGTGGGGGGCTATTATAATATTCATGGTGGAGGAACTAGTTTCAACCTATAGCCCCCACTCATTTTCGGGGGGTGGGGGCTATAAATGTCATATACAGGTAGGAGGACCCATTGGCAGCGAGTAAGATCCTATTATCCCCATCGGACGCCCACATAAGTATTGGGTGGCTGCTCTAATTAATTAAACAAGGGTAAGCAAACAATAAAGAAAAGGCAGTGTGGACACTGCAGTGCCCAAACAATAAATACAATTCACCTAGTGCAGCAAAATTATATAAGGTTGCTATCAGGGCTGGTGCAAGCATTTTTGCCGCCCTAGGCAAAAAATATATTGCTGCCCCATTCGCTCCACCCACTTACACACACACACACACTGACCCATATGTACACACTGATCAGAGACACACATACAGACACAAACTGACCCATACAGACACACAATAACCCATACAGACACACAATAACCCATACAGACACACAATAACCCATACAGACACACAATGACCCATACAGACTCACAATGACCCATACAGACACACACTAACCCATACAGACACACACTAACCCATACAGACACATACTGACCCATACAGACATACAATGCCCCATACAGACACATACTGACCCATACAAACACACACTGATCCATACAGACACAAAAGGCCCCGTACAGACACACAATGCCCCATACGGACACAGACTGACCCATACACAAACATAATGACTGAAGCAAGCTAACACATTCTCTGACGCACATCTTACCTTCAATCCATGAACGGATTGTCAGTTCACCTTGAGGAAAGACTCGGACGCGGGATGAAATGCCGGTGTGATGATTTTATGGATATGCCTTGAATAAAGAAAAACTTTTATACTTCAAGTCTGTGAGTGCA